GTGTTGGGGAGGCTGGTTTTGATGTTGTGCGTGACTAACCTCTCAAAGCACTTCATCATTATTGGAGTCAGTGCTATGGGACAGTAGTCATTTAGACAGGACACAGGTGATTTCTTTGGTACCGGTATGATTGTTGTGGATTTGAGACATGTTGGGACGACTGCCTGGCTCAGCGAGGTGTTGAAGATATCTGTTAGGACATCTGTCAGCTGTGCAGCACAGTCTCTCAATACACGGCCAGGTATGTCGTCAGGACCCACAGCCTTGCGTGGGTTAATCCTAGATAGGGTCTTCCTTACGTCGGCTGGAGACAGACAGAGCGCCTGGTCGTTGAGAGGTATGGGCAGTTTTTGTGCGGGTGTGTCATTCTGCATTTCAAACTGGGAATAAAATTGGTTGAGTGTATCCGGGAGGGATGTGTCATTATCACAGGCCTGTGGCGGGGGCTTTTAGTCAGTGGTGGTCTGAATGGTTTGCCACAGGCTCCGTGTGTCTCTGCTGTCTGTGAAGTGATTGTTGATTTTCTTGAGCATACGACCGTTTTGCATTTTTGATGCCACAGGACAGATTGGCTCTTGCTGTTTTGAGGGCTGCTTTATCTCCTGATCTGAATGCTTCATCTCTGGTCTTTAGCAGCCCACAAACCTCTGCTGTCATCCACGGCTTTTGGTTTGCACGTGTGATGATGGTCTTGGTGACTGTCACATCATCAATGCACTTTTTGATGTAAGCACTCACAGTTTCAGTGTACTCCTGCAGGTCTGTGTGGTTGTTGTAGGTGGCTGCCTCTTTAAACATGTTCCAGTCTGTGCACTGAAAGCAGTCCTGTAGAGTTGAGGTAGCATCATCTGGCCAAACTGTGATGAGTTTTTTGTCTGTATGCTGGAATTAGCATAACAGAGATGTGATCCAAATACCCTAGGTGGGGGCGGGGTACAGCCTTGTACGAGTTCTTTTTTGTTGTGTAAACAAAGTCCAGTGTGTTTTTTCCCCTTGTTGCAAAGTTCACATGTTGGTAGAACTTTGGCAGCACTGTCTTTAAGTTTGCGTCGTTGAAGTCACCGGCTGTTATGAAAAAGCTGTCAGGGTTATTTGTTTGTTGTTCGCTGATGGCGATGTACAGCTCGCGAAGCGCGTCCTTAGCGTTTGCACACGGGGGGGATGTAAACGGCGACAATAACAATGGCCGTGAACTCCCGCGGCAGATAGAATGGTCGACACTTCACAAACATAAACTCCACCAGCGATGAACAGTGTTTTGTCACTACCACAGCATTGTTACACCACTCTTTGTTGATGTACACACACAAGCCACCCCCGCAAGTCTTACAGACAGTGCTGTATCTCTGTCCGCTCGGTAGCAGGTGAGTCCATGCAACTGAATAGCGCAGTCCAGGATATTGTCGTTTAACCATGTTTCAGTGAAAACAAGCACACAACAATCCCTTGTCTCATGCAGTGTAGACCGACTGAGTTGAATTAAGTCCAGTTTATTTTCCAGAGAGCGAACGTTTGAGAGCATGAGTGATGGAATCGCTGGTCTAGTGGGGTTAGCCCTTAGCCTAGCTCGTGTGCCTCCATGCTTGCCGCGCTTCTGTCCTCTCTCACATCGCCGGCGTTGCCGTTTTGTGCAGGTAGCGTCAGTAGGCGAGGCCGCGGTCTCGGGGTTCGGCTTCAGCAGCAGAAAGAGGCCTCGTAGCTTCTCAGTAGTCACGGGCGAAAGCTGTTATTTTTACTCACTGCCGATTTCCAGAAGGCTTTGTTGATCATAGATGTGTTTCCGAGTGTTTATCTGATGATTTTTCGATAAGGTGAGACTGTTTGAAGACGAGGAAACGAGACTAACAGACATAAAAACACAATTTTTGGGACCCGGAGTAGCCGCTGCGTCCGACCGCGCCGCCATCTTGGATTTCGATGGCGAAATGCATTGACCTTCGTTCCCTGACAGTAAAAACGGATCTGACTCTGATGCTAGCATCGGTAAAGCGGATGGGAGATCTGCAGGCACTCTCTGTGAGCCCCTCCTGCCTTGAATTCTGGCCCATGGATATGTACCTAAGGTGCTCTCCACTCCGTTCAGAGCACAGGTTATAATTCTATCGGCGCTTCCTTGCTAGGATGACCAGGAGTTGAACTTAATCTGCCCCGTCAGGGCATTGAGGTTTTATATTGAGCATTCTGCCAACTCTTTATATGCTTCGATGGCCGCACCAAAGGGCTTCCAGTCACTAAGCAGAGACTCTCCATGTGGATAGTTGACGCTATTGCACTAGCATACTCCTCCTTGGGCCTACACTGCCCCATGGGAGTAAGAGCCCATTTGACTAGAGGTATGGCCTTGTCTTGGGCATGGTCTAACGGTGTGTCCATTGCAGAAATCTGTGCGACAACTGACTGGGCCTTGCCGTCCACATCTGCCAGGTTCTATAATCTGGACATCCCGACCTTACAGGCCAGGGTCCTTTCTGTTTAATGGGCTCATTCTTGTCTTAGGGCAAACCAGTGCTTAGGCTGTGCCTCCCTTCTTGCGTTCTTGGCCCTAACTGAGTGCTGCAGCTGTAAGAGTTTTCTTGGAACGATTACTCATGGCTGGGCTGACCTCTGGGCCCCTTGTGGTGCTAGTTATAATGAGTCGTTCCTCTAGCATAACACGGCGGGATTGTACTGATTCCCCATAGTGTCTTAGCGAAGTATCGATAGCGCTGAAGTATCGATTGGAAACGTACTCGGTTACTAACGTAACCTCGTTTCCCTGAGATACGGGAACGAGCACTTGGTAACTAGCCATGCTATGCCGCTGCATGACTCAGTCATCGCTTCAGTCGAAGTAACCTGAGGATCCTATGGCAACAGGCCCACTTATATAGCCAGATGGCCCCGTCCATTCTGGCGGGCTCTGGCGGGCTTTATCGCCATAGGTTTGTGCAGCTCAGCTGCAGAGCCATTGGTTCAATTTTTATATCACTGCATGAACCAATGGCCGTGCAGTTACACTGCCTTATTAAATAAGGCTTCAGTCATTGGAGAAAAGCAGTCTTCCCCATAGCATCTTAGCGACGCAGTACTCGTTCCCATATCTCAGGGAACCGAGGTTACGTTAGCAACTCAGTACGTTTTTCGGCACAGGATTGCGCATAATTCTACACATTCCTGCAGGTTTCGCGCAAACATTTATGCACTATAGCATATTGGTTGAATCCAAACAGGTTATCAGAGCAGTTCGGTCAAATTAAACCTTTCCGGGAGACGTAATGCACAAATGGCTCACATCCATAGTTCAACCATGGAATCTGTAGTAAAACTATGGTTAAAACATTACGGTTACTATACTTTTACTATAATAAATTCAGGGTTAATTTTCGTAAGGGAATATTTGACTAGAGATGAAGCAGTAACATGTTCAATATCAGGATTTTTCTATAAAGATATTGTCATGGTGCAGTTATTGTTGTACTAATTTAGGCATTTAGGCAATTAAGAAAATATGGTTATTTTGCACGGTCCCATCCTAAGGATTTTAACCTTTTTTATGTGATGGCCATACAACAAATAGTGCTGTCCATGTTTCAGAATTTGTTGTGGGTGAGTGGGACGGCCTGGATGAGTGACATTTTGTCCCAGTCTGGCCCTGTTCTACATCGTGGTTGTTCAACCTGGATAATTCATTAGCTAACAAAATTTTAAATGTAAGTTCTGTTGTATTAAAAGGGTCATATGATGTTTTTTTTAAAGATCATTATTTTGTGTATTTGGTGTAACAGAATATGTTGACATGCTTTAATGTTCAAAAAACACATTATTTTTCAAATACTGTACATTATTGTAGGTCCTCTATGCCCCGCCTCTCTCAAACGGTTCGTTTTCTACAAAGTCCCTCCTTCCGACAAGCGCAGTCTGCTCTGAGTGACCAGCTGACCCAGTGCATTGTGATTGGCCAAACACCGCAAGCACTCGTCGGAAATGTAACGCCCCTTACCATAATCGCGAGCTTCATCTTTCAAAATAAATGTAAAGACAGTAAATAATGTCATTAGTTTTACCATCAGTTCAAGCCCGAAAGGGGAACAGAGTCGCGTGACAGACACAGTGATGAAGCTGGTATGTATTTGTGATGTGCCCCCCCCCCCCCCCTCTCTCTCTCTCTCTCTCGCGCGCGCTCTCTCTCTCTCTCTCTCTCTCTCACGCTCTCTCCCTCTTTCGCTCTCTCTCGCGCTCTCTCTCTCGCACACACACAGACGATGCACAAAACTCTGCATTGGAACAGTCAATAGCAAATACTTAAACTAATAACAAAGCAGAAGCTGATTCAGAAGCGCCAGATTGTCATAGCAAAGTCAAAATTACCTCCTCTCCTAGGTTCACGAAACGGTTGTCCATAAAATGCATTGCTGTTCTGTTGTAAGTAATCTTAAAGATTCCTAAATGCATCTATTTTCGGAAGGCCAAATAAAGTGCTTTTGCTTTCACCTAGAAACACACAGCGTATCCCTGACATGGCTGCTTCAACACTAACTGCGGTTACTGAAGCCATGCCTTCATTCTCTGTGTGCACATTTGGGCGGCATTATGCAAATATTTCCACATAGTGATGTAGACATGTGGGGGCGTGTTAGAATGAGCCGTTTTAGGGGGGCGTGGCAGAGTCTTAACTTTGATAAAGAATATCTATTTGGTTTTGAGACTTTAGTCTTTGCAACTTCAGGGATCTTGTTTATGCACAATCAGCTTGTAACACTCCAAAGAGAAAGGAAAACTTGAAATCGCATCATATGACCCCTTTAAGGTGTTTATATGAAGTGAGGTCCCATTACCAGTGTGACACTAAAACAGGTAGTAGTAATGGCTACTTTTTATTATTTTAGAGTATTTTTTAAACATGAGTATCTGTACTTCTACTTGAGTGAAGGATATGTATACTTTTTCCATCTCTGGAATTTACTATATTACTATTTTTAATCAGTTGACCCCCCTTGATTAAACCCATGTGTGTTTTTCAGATGCACGCTGTACAAAGTTCTACCACCCCGAAAGGAAAGATGGCGCAATATACAGATTGTGTAAAGGAGACCTGTGCCAGTGTGCAGAAGGTATCATCAGCCACAAATAACACCACTGCAACGAAATAGTGTAAACAGGCACTATCCTGTAGCATTGTACACCTGGCATTTTTGAACTTGTGAAACGCCTTAGAAAAGGATGCATTATGTGATTACATAACAGAAAATTAAACATTATCTCTTGCAAATTTTCAGTAAATCTTAGTAATGTTACTTTAGCCAAAATAGTTTATTGTAATTGTATAAAAAAGTCTGACTAAATGAAACTTGAAAGTGTTCGTTTTGGACTATTAATTAATCATGCTGTGATATACAGTGTCTGGCTAAAATATCTGATTTTCATTCATTATACACATTGTAATTTGTGTAATAATTTGAACCTGTATCTCAGTTTAGTAATCACAAGAGACTTTGAAGGAGAACCTCTAGATAAACTGAAGACATTTGTGTAAATCCAAAGGAATAAAGCAGAAATTTAAAGACCACCTGTGGTGATTTTTTACATGTCAACGCAATGGCTGAGCATTTTCTTCTCAAAGGTGCTGTATGTAATGTTTGACTGCACTAAAGCATAAAGATAAAGTTACGTGACATGTGGCCAAGTATGGTGACCCATACTTGGAATTAGTGCTCTGCATTTAACCCATCCAAAGTTCACACACACAGCAGTGAACACACACCCACCGTGAACACACACACCCGGAGCAGTGGGCAGCCATTTTTTGCTGCGGTGCCCAGAGAGCAGTTGGAGGTTCAGTGCCTTGCTCAAGGGCACCTCAGTCGTGGTATTGAAGGTGGGAGAGAGCACTGTACATTCACTCCCCCCACCTACAATCCCTGCCGGTACAAGACTCGAACCCGCAACCTTTGGGTTATGAGTCAGACTCTCTAACCCATCATATGTTAGCAGATGTTTAGGAAACGCTAAGTGCACATTGTTTCTCTGAAAAACAATGCAGTTATTTAACTTTGAAATGTGTGTTCCATGTTGGAATGTCTGTTTTTGTTTTGGTCAATGTGACTCCGCCCACTGCCAGTTTACCCAATAGTAGACACCCGGGTTGCCAGTTGGTGGAAAATACAGCGTATTGCAGCCATGGAAGCCAGCAAACTAACTGGGTCAGAGATTGCAGATTCTACCTGACCTAAAAAGCCTCAGCATCCATCTAAACTCTAACAGGGGGCGAGAGAAACGACTCTCTCCAGTGAATTTTGACCTATTTCAACCACTAACTGTCGGCACCAGGAGTGATTTTTACCAAGAGGAAACCCTGACCAACACCCCCCATCCTCCCCCATTTTATGGCATATGAAATATAGCCTACACATACATGATAATATAACAGTCATATGTGCAAGTTAGAAATATTGGCATGTAGGGCTGCACGATAAATCGAAATGGAATCGAGATCGCGATTCGACAGAAGCTGCGATTGTCATGCGTATCTTTCAGTGACGCATGGTTCTGTGATCAGCAGTAAATCTCCATCCAAAGGCCAGAGGGCACTCTCACGCTGAAACTCCAAAAATGCCTCACAGAAGAAACCCAGAAAATGCCTATGGTTGCAGATGAATAAACAAAACATTCAACTGCTTTCATTTATTCCACGTGACTAATAAACACACAACTACGGCAATATAAAGTTTATCTGAGTTCTTATTATTATAATTTTCATTAAAATAAAGTATATTTATAATGCAATGCCTTTATCACTGCTTAAATACTATGAAATATGTTGCGTGCCTTATTCTGTGTAAGAAGCCACATCATCTCACAGAAGGATTTATTTCAAACACTCGACTGACGTTATGAAGTGAGTTTGGAGTAAAAATATGTTATTAAATGTGGTATTTTCACATGCTTTCAGATGGAGCAGCATTTACTTCACAGAGCCGTAGTTCACTGAGAAGCTCTGTGTAGTAAATGCTGCTCCATCTAAAAGCACGTGATGATGATTTCCTGCTGATTACAGAACCGGCTTTACTAACAAAATGCGCATGACAATCGCATTCGATTAATCGTGTAATCTATTGGCATGGTTATTCAGAAATTGTTTAAAGGGGACCTGTTATATATTTTATCTTTCCTTTAGTGTATGAAATTGCTGTTTGTGCATATAAACAGTCATGATAAAACATGATCTCCCCGTTAAACCAAACTTCAGGAACTCGCGCAAAACAGATGCCATGCAACAAAACAATAAACTTTCTAATCTGAGGAGAAGATATCAAAGAAAACGATTTGCTCATCTGTCCCTTCACCCATGCTTAAGCCCTCCTCCCGTCCACCTGGGCATATGGCCTGATCACTGAAAGTTGACTTAAAAGTGTCAAGATTATATTAAGAATCTATGAATTTAACATTTTCCACTTGGTTATTATGCTTTAGTAACTACAGATACCACAGTAAAACTACGATTACTGAGGTAACGTTAAGCCCATAGTAAGTGTTGTGGTTATTATGCTTTAGTAACTACAGATACCACAGTAAAACTACGATTACTGAGGTAACGTTAAGCCCATAGTAAATGTTATTACAAAAAAAGATCGTTGCCCTTACCTGTTTGAAGGTGTACGCCATCAGGTGAACTGAGCCTCGCTGGTGACGTCACTGCCGCTGAAGATGACGCGTGGTATTTGTACGCATCTGCTCTCCACTGAAGTTAATGTGAAGGATTGGCGTATCATATGCACGCAAAATTGGCATTTAGCGTATGCATTACACGCAATTAGAAAGTGTAAAGCGTGTTATTTAAACGCAGACTGATGAGAACGGGTTGCAACGACACACAAATGTTTGTCTAGAGTTATTTGTGTTTATTAGTACGGTTGAACTGGATCATCGAAGGTCAGAAGCAAAGACATTGGTTAATGGAATGGGATTAAATACATAAAGGATATTTGTGTTGTTTAACATTTAATTATTGCATATTCTGAGTTGCATTATTTTTTATTCATTTTGAGGAATACTGAATCTGTGTTTTTTTTCTGAGATGAATTAATGCATATTCATATTTATTTTAGAACTACAGTAACATCTGATTTCTCTCAACATGGGGACAGGAGAGCTGTTAATCAATAAATTGGAAAAAAGTACTTGCGTTACTTATTTGAAAAAGTAACTCAGATATTCTCTTGTAAATTAAAAAGTAATGCGTTACTTTACTAGTTACTTGAAAAAAGTAATCTGATTACGTAACCCCCAACACTGGTCATCAGCATCGAAAATCCTCAAAAGTTTTTCATATTTGTATATTTTTTTAAATGTATGTATATTTATAACACTATTCTTTGTATTATATCACTTTTGAATCAAATTACAAAAAAAACGTTAACGCTAATGCAAGGGTGTTTCTAATGCAGCGTCTAAGGAAAGGATGGTAAATTTGACATTGTTCTCTCGTCTGACTGCCAGAATTTATCAGTGTCTCTCAATTTTATTTTCCTTTTATTGAATGTCATGAAAACACTATCGTGGAGTTTTTCTTTTGCTGTTTGAGCAAATAGGAATGCAAAAAATATATTTGTGGTACTCTCCCATTCACTGCTCTTCAAGTTAACCCAACTATAACGACTTCCGCTGCTGAGAAACCCTGAAATGTGAAAAAGGTCCATTGCTCAGATTCAACTTTGTTGATGGGCGCTATAACTCAACACCCGTGCTCACGGCGCTAACTTGTGCGCTCCTGTCTTGAATTTAAGTGTTTAAATTGTCAGACTCTGTTCCATGTTTTGTCTGTCTTGCTCCCCAGGTGTATGTTATGTTGATTTCTTCCCAGGTGTTTCCTATGTGGTTACCATTGATCCCAAGTGTGTCTTGTCATCCCATCATCCTGTTCTGTGTGTTTGAAGTGTTCCCAGTCCCTAGTTTTCTGTCCGCTGTTATGCGCGTCATCCTGAGTTTTTGAGTTAGTCTCCTTTGGTTCATGGAATTAAAAGTCTAGTTAAAGTATTCTCCAGCGTCTCCTCGTTCTTCTCTAGTGTATTGTGACACATATCACGACCGCTGCAGCGCACAAAGAAATTCTGCATGCTCAAAGTAGTTGAGTTTGTTCTTTAAAACATAAGGTTGCTTTGATGTAAGTTTTGTATAAAAGATTCAGGTAAAGGGTTGTAGATGTTATGCATTCTAGACTGTGTCTTAGTCGAGTAATACTGCAATTGTCCAGAAATTTCGAGTTACATGTGTGACTATATTGAATTTGTTAGTCTGCATATTTCTCATATAGTTGCAGTAATCCATATGCAGGTACGTAGAATTGTCGTGGGGCTACAATGTTATTCACAATTGAATTATCCTTTCTGAATTGGCTTCAAACTGTTAAATTAAGTTGGTTTGAAAAAGCCAACTTACTGAAATCCTATTTAAACGTATTCTTCTAAGACTAAATTTTAAAATGTATCTCCTCCTAGACTTTTAAAGCTACAACCACCAAACTCGAGTCAAACCTTCAGACTGGTCTGACTCGGGTTGCTATATCTTTCCTAACTGATCGTGTCGTGATCAGTTAGTCGTGACTGGCTTTGGCTCGCACACTCTCTGCGCCTCCACCAAACGGTTTGGATCAGAGTAATCAATGCGAGAGAGAGAATGGAGTGGACTGTGGAAGCACACAGATGGAGCAGAGAAGCAAAACTACTGTTCAGGGTTTCAAGTGCAGGTTAGTTTCATCTGAAAATATGCTATTGTAGTTTTGTCTTTGTTTACGTAGTTAAGCAGTCATCACTCAAAATACTGTATAAAGGACATAATTATTATCTATTGTAATGTTACAGTAGTAATTTAGCAGACTAATAATCATTTTTTATTAATAGGTTTAGGGGGCGCTAGGGCAGACAACAACACAACCCTTATGAAAATGAACGGTGATTTTACTATAATCCAAAGACAATGGTTACTATTGTTAAAGCATGGTAACCACAAATTAACCATGGTTTTTGCAACACAAACCATAGTTTAACCTATCATATACAAAGAGACACCAATGTTTCAGGAGTTTAGTGCACAGAATAGGACACATGCTTAGTAGATAACCGCATTTGAGTTGATGTATATGCTTTTATTTATTCATTTTTTTATTAACTTTTTTTTCCAAACCATTGTTAGATGCAGTGTTTCCTGTAGTTATGCAAAGATTTGGTTTCAAAAACAGTATCAGTAAACTAGTTCTTATGCTTTTAAATCTGCATTGAACTTCAAATCAATTTCAAAGTAAAAGGCGGTACTAAAGGCTGATTTTGTGGTGGATGTGTTCAAATTTGATCATCTTAATTCAAGTGGTGAAGGATTCTGAAAGTCTGACACTGTTGAGCACTACTGAAAGGTTAACCCTGCATGGTGTAAATGTTTGAAAATTATTAACAGTTGCAAATAAACATCCATTAGAAATTTAGAAAAGTAATCAAAAGTAAACAGTTACATTACTTTAATAAAGTAATTGAAAAAGTTACACTACTATTACATTTCAAATAGGGTAACTTCTAATATGTAACCTATTAAATTTCCAAAGTAACCTTCCCAACACTGCCAATGATACACTTTACCACACTGTCTGAACAAACTGATCCAATTTCATTACTTGCAAAAGATACAGTCAGTTCTAAACGTGTAATTTGTTATGCTGATTCAAAGTGATAAACATGAGCCAGACTTGAGTAAAACATTAGTTTTCATAGTTTCTACGATTCTCACTTGTACTGATGCTGAAAACACTATAGGTGTCCATCGAGTGTCTGTTTGTAAATGACTGGATTTGGGTGGTTTATGTGTTTAATGTCCTTCATGGGTTTTTAATAATACCAGCAAGATTTCTGCTTTATACATGAACACAGTATTGTCTTCACTTTGCTGATGTTTTTAGTCTGTAGTATGTTTTTGGAAAGCAGACATGGGTTGAATACTGACCAACAAGAGAGGAAAGCCAAACTCCAGAACACAGGCAGAGATACATCGGCATCAGTGAACTCGCTTATACACTTGCTAAAGCAGGATGCATTCATTAATTGTATAAGTGTGCTTTTTTTTTTTTTTACATAAATCAACTGGTGTTTAAAACCAAATTATATTATTTTTGCCAAAACATGCAATTTCATAATAAAGTTTCATTGAATAATTATTATTATTTTTTTACTGTGACTAATTAAAACCTTGGTGTTAATCACATTGGTCAAAAATGTGCAAGGATTCTGGTCTCATCCACTTCCAGTTGTTTTAGCTACACAGTAAATTCCCGAGTGTTAAATGAACACTGCTCGGAGCATATATGGTCCCACTCTAAAAGAGTGTTAAAGTAACACTGAAGCTGTGTTAAAGTTAATGAGATAATTGAGTGATTAATTAAGTGCTGATTGATCATTAGTGATGAACAGCTGCTGTTAACAAGCAGAATCACTGAAGAAAAGAGAAACACAAGAACTACAACACATTGGAGTTGTTAACACAACTACAAGACATTAAATCTCTCAAGATCTCAGCAGAAGATGATTGAACAACTCTACAAACAGCATCACCAGCTTCACACATTACTAACCAGTTTGACTTTATTATCTAAAACAGAATTAATGTTTAGATGTTTTTTTTTTCTTCAACTTACCGTTTTTGTGAATAGTGAGTAAAACTGTAGAGCTTTTATGATTTCTATGTTGTTGCAGTAATGCATAATAGCAATGTGATAAAAACTTTGTAAGTGATTTTTATAAATATGGCTCATACGGAGGTTTCAACTCTGGCACTCATAGACATGAAGAATCAGCATGTGAATCTCAGCAATGGAGACAAAATATTCTGATAATGTTAATGTGATTTTTGAACGTGACAAAACAAGGCAGTAAAAAGTCACAACTAAAAATAAAAAAAATTAAAGCAAATAGTATAAATAAAAGAAAATACTAAAACAATGTAGCGGCATCATTTATTCATGTCGCAATGCATGCTGGGAGCCATGGATGAGTTATGATTGGTGCACCCAGAATGCACTGCAGCATGAATCTGTCTGATGCTGGTCAGCATTGTTGAGATTCATGTGCTGATTCTTGATGTCTGTGTATCTAAACAGTACAGATGTTCTATACTGGTGTACAAAGTGTTTTTAAAGCTCTTCATATTGTTTCATCATGTGCAGCTGTGATCAATAACAAACTATATTACTCATTACCACTGAAAAAAAGCAATTTAAAATACATTTATTATAATTGATGTAACCACGTTTTAAACATGAAATGCTTTTTGTGCCTATTTATTTGTGAGTTTGTAAATGTGTTTGTTTTAATAAATAATTATTAAAAGTTAATACATAAAATATTGTTTCCTTTAATTAAAATACTAAAACAATGTAGTGGCATCATTTATTCATGTCGCAATGCATGCTGGGAGCCATGGATGAGTTATGATTGGTGCACCCAGAATGCACTGCAGCATGAATCTGTCTGATGCTGGTCACCATTGTTGAGATTCATATGCTGATTCTTGATATCTGTGTATCTAAACAGTACAGATGTTCTATACTGGTGTACAAAGTGTTTTTAAAGCTCTTCATATTGTTTCATCATGTGCAGCTGTGATCAATAACAAACTATATTACTCATTACCACTGAAAAAAAGCAATTTAAAATACATTTATTATAATTGATGTAACCACGTTTTAAACATGAAATGCTTTTTGTGCCTATTTATTTGTGAATTTGTAAATGTGTTTGTTTGAATGAATAATTATTAAAAGTTAATAAATGAAATATTTTTTGCTTGAATAAAAAAACATAAAAAAAGGTTTGTGCCTCCAGAGCGCATGCCAAACATAAACTCCTGCAGTTACGCTCAAGATCTCTGTTCTGTGTTCTGTCTCTGTTTATCATATACAGTATACTAATGAAGTTATAAAAGATAAAAATATCAAATGATTCCATTTTATGAATTAAAACATGACATACAAAACAAATTACTATATATTATTATATGATATTATATATATTGTCCTTCCATTTGTCATTTCAATGGAGAACTCATTTGAATCTCATTTACACAATAGCACAGGTATTGAGCTGAAACATCTGGGACATATTTTCACGGTTAAATATGATGTTTGTTCATTATTTCGACCCTTACAAGATCAACAGAGCAGCTGCCAATTTACCAAAGGTTGAATTTACACAACTGGTTTTTGCAGGTCATTTACAGGAAATCTGAATTGGACTGCCGTGAACTCTTCACCTCCTTTTCTGCTCTTTATGAGTCTCCTGTTTGATTCACAAAACTGAACTAAATTTTACTGACAGCTGCTTTATTTAGACACTGAACATGTGTGAAATTTGAGCTTTCTTTGTTACATGAATTCAAAAGATTTGATTTATAAAATCTATAAAAGTAGAAAAGTTTTTTTCAAGCATAATTATAATTTGCTATACTGTTAGACTGTAGAGTGGTGAACTGAAATGTTTGTTTATTTATAAAACAAATGCAAACAAACAGACTGAGAGAGCGTGCAGTTTGGACTCTGAGGGTGGTGGAGGCGGGTATAAATCGGAGCTGCTGCAGCTTCACAGACGCTCACAGGAAGACACACACAGACAGTCAGGATGGAGGTGAAGCTGCTGTTTCTGACTGTTGTTCTGCTCTCCTCACCGCTCCTCACACTATGTGACCCGCTGTGAGTATCAAACACACTGTTTGTTCATGGATTCACTAACAGATCTGTTCTCAAACGCTCTGATTTGATCTCCTCAGGTTTGTTCTGTCGGCTCCTAATCTGCTGAGGGTGGGTTCCTCAGAGAACCTGTTTTTGGATGCTCAGGATTACTCTGGACGAGACCTCGATGTGACGATCATAGTAAAGAATCATCCAAAGAAGAGCCGGGAGATACTGTCTAAATCAGTGACACTGACCGCAGACAACAATTTCCAGATCCTTACAGATATAAAGGTGAGAGTGCAGTAATTACAGTGCAGTGATGTCTCATTTATTTTATTAACCGTTATAACTGGCCGGTTATCTGTTCAACAGATTCCTGATGATCAGATCTTGTTCTCTGACGATCCTCTGGAGAAGCAGTATGTGTATCTACAAGCTCAGTTTCCATCCGTCACTCTGGAGAAAGTGGTCCTGCTCTCATTCCAGTCTGGATATATATTTGTCCAAACAGACAAGCCCATCTACACACCTGCTAGCAAAGGTACGATTAAGTGCTGAAAACATGACCAATATAGAGTACATTAATGAACTTTGAACTTTAAAACATCAGCCTGACATCATTCTGTTTATTATTAAACTGCCTGCTGCTTTTATCAGGGTTTGTATCTGCAGAAAATAAAAATATCAGAACTATGTATTTCAGTTTATTATTTAATTTATTTTATTCAGTTAATTTATTATTATTTTAACTACTTTTGCAGTTCAGTACAGGATTTTCTCTCTGACGCCCAACATGACACCACGCAGTGAGTCTGGAATCACAGTGAAAATCATGGTACACACTGTTATTTCACACACACACACACAGACAGAGTCATTTCAGCATAATGAGCACTGATGATCTCTGCAGTCGCAGTGTTCATGCTGATTTCTGTGTTTCTGAAGAATCCACAAGGCATCACAGTTTCATCAGAGAAGATGTTTCCAGTCAGAGGGATGAAGTCTGGAGGATACAGCATTCCTCAGATGGCCAGGTGTGTGTGTGTGTGTGTGTGTGTGTGTGTGTGTGTGTGTGTGTGAAACACTATGAAGACTGATCCTGAGTGAACTGACTGGATTTAATTTTCAATGATCCACGATGTCTACCTCAGGATAAAAACTCTTGAATTTATCTGCAAACAACACAGCAGCTACTCGTAAATGTGATATGTGCTATAATGCTGATTTAGTCTATTGGATAATGCTTATTTATGAATGTTCTCCAGCTCTGGGATCTGGAAGGTGGTCACACTGTTCTCAAACACTCCTCAGGAGACGTTTACTGCAGACTTTGAGGTCAAAGAATATGGTAAAAACTGATTGTTACATAAATGTGATAATTAAAATAATGTATTTATTGATTTATTTGCATGTCTTTTGTCTGGTTTGGTTTTAGTGCTTCCAACATGTGAAGTGAAATTAAAGCCCAGTAAGTCCTTCTTCTATGTGGGTGATGAGAGTCTGACAGTCGACATTGATGCCAAGTAAGACAAAATATTTTCACTGTATTCAAAATCAATCCTTGAATTGTGCGCACAGTGAATTAAAATAAAGTTGTATGCAAACTACAAAATAATGTACTCTATGTGAAACCAAAACTTGTCCTGATAGTTTAACTTTCAAAACAAAGACAATACTCTATTTACTACAATTTTAGTATTTACCAGCAGCCATATCACCCTGCAGCCCAAGACTTGTTGCCCACTGAAGCTAAGCAGGGCTGAGCCTGGTCAGTACCTGGATGGGAGACCTCCTGGGAAAACTAGGTTGCTGCTGGAAGAGGTGTTAGTGAGGCCAGCAGGGGGTGCTCAACCTGAGGTCTGTGTGGGTCCTAATGCCCCAGTATAGTGACGGGTACACTATACTGCCAACAAGCACCGTCCTTCAGATGAGACGTTAAACCGAGGCCAAATTTGCCCATTGGCCTCTGACCATCATGGCCTCCTAACAATCCCCATATTTGCTGATTGGCTTCATCACTCTGTCTCCTCTCCACCAGTAAGCTGGTGTGTGGTGGGCGTTCTGGCACACTATGGCTGCCGTCGCATCATCCAGGTGGATGCTGCACACTTACAATGTAAAGCGCTTTGAGTGCCTAGAAAAGCGCTATATAAATGTAATGAATTATTATTATTTTTTTTTTATTAGTTATTTTACTGATCGTATGAACATAGTTTCAATTGTATCTGTCACAATCCAGAAGATCTGCACAATCTGCACAAACACTCAAAGCACACACACTTCTCAAACAGCATCAGAGTACAAAAATAAAAAATTCCCTCATATTGTTTATAACCTGTATGGCTTTCTCAACACACAAGAGACTTTTAAAAATGCTGAAACTGCTCTTTTTCTATGTAATGAAGTGCATGTGGATCAGGGATAGTCATCATCTCTATTCAGTTTTACAGCAGAGACTGAATGTGCTTTTATAGGTACCTGTTTGGACAGAAGGTGGATGGAAATGCGTTTGTGGTGTTTGGTGTGATGGAAGATGAGAAGAAAACAAGTATTCCTGCATCTCTGCAAAAAGTTCAGGTGAGAGACATTAAACATCTCGCCTGTTGAGATCAATATAATTTCTCCTCAAACCTAGAGGACAGTTTAAATAAGAAGTTAAATAGCTTTTATTGTATATTGTTTTTCATGTGTGAATAGATTGTGAAAGGAGAGGGTACTGCAGAACTGACCAATCAGATGATCACTGACACCTTTCCAAACATTAACCAGCTGGTTGGACGATCAATCTATGTTTCAGTCAGTCTATTAACAGAAAGTGGTAAGACTCAACAGATCTGTATGCACATGTTTACCTGCACGTGTGTGATTGTATGAGAAGCTAATGGTTTGTGTGTTTCAGGCAGTGAAATGGTGGAAGCAGAAAGGAGAGGCATTCAGATCGTGACGTCACCGTACACCATCCACTTCAAAAGAACACCACACTTCTTCAAACCTGGGATGCCCTTCGACGTCTTGGTAGCTAATTTTACTCATTAAACTCTATTCTGTAAAAGGAAGTGGCACTCATGTGCGAGACGCTGAAAAGCAGTGAGATGCGAGTATCATTTGCATGACATTTACAACAGTTAAAAAGCAGCACAGACAAATGTTTTTTTTTTTTTACAGTTTTACAGTTAACATGTAGAAAATGTGGAACAATTTCATTATTTTTTGGTCTGGGTTCTATAAAAGATCTATGTAACAAATCCTGACCAAACACCTGCTGAAAATGTGGAAGTGGAGGTCAATCCTGGAGGGGTCAGAGGTCGAACAAGAGACAACGGCATTGCGAAGGTTACCGTCAACACTCCGAGAGGATCTTCAACACTGGACATCACTGTAAGACCTGCCATCATAACAGCACTGATGTTCATTCAGTTTCACTGGTGATCTAGTGGAGAATAGATCAGTTAACAGATGTTAAACAATCAATAGAGCATATTGTACAAAGAACATCAGAAAACAATGTATTTATTCTTTCCAGGCAAAGACCAAAGATCCACAATTAAGAGACGGACAGCAGGCAGTGAGGAAGATGACGGCTCAGGCCTATGAGACCAAAGGCGGCTCCAACAACTACCTGTACATCGGCATTGATGCTGCTGTGCTTCAGATCGGTGAGCCAATGAGAGTCTATCTGGGCACGGGACAAAGTCCAGGAGTCAAAGATCAAGACTTCACATACATGGTGATTGACAGTCATGTCAGGATTCAAGCAGAAATTATTGATTAAAGTAAAACTTGTGTATTGTTTTTGTTTAAAATGTAATCTTATGAATAAAGGAATATCTCTATTTTCTCATCTGCCTCATTTTCAGATCTTGAGTAAAGGTCAGATTGTAAAAGCAGACAGGTTTAAGCGAAGAGGAGAATCACTAGTGATTCTGCCTGTGACTGTAACCAAAGACATGGTGCCGTCCTTCCGCTTTGTGGCTTATTACCATGTGGGCTCGTCTGAGGTGGTGTCTGATTCAGTCTGGGTCGATGTGAAGGACACGTGCATGGGAACGGTGGGTCAACAATCACAAAAAAACAGTTGATGTGCCAATCATCTAGGTCTGACTCAGTGTCTCATTTAATAACAGCTCCAGATTGATGTGAAGGAGAAGATGAATATCTATGGCACAGGAGAAGAGGTCAAGCTGCAGATAACTGGAGATCCTGGAGCTAAAGTTGGTCTGGTGGTGGTTGACAAAGCTGTGAACAAGAACAGACTCACTCAGACAAAGGTGAAGGATGTTCATCAGCATCTCAACAGTCACTGCATTCTTGAGACAGGTTTATAAATGATCTCTTTGCTGCTTTAGATCTGGGACGTCATAGAGAAGCATGACACCGGCTGTACAGCAGGAGGTGGGAGGGACAGTATGGGGGTTTTCACTGATGCAGGTCTGATGTTTGAGTCCAGCACTGCAGGAGGAACCAACACCAGAACAAGTATGTTTGTATATTTGTAATTTCTTCATTTTGAATAAAAATACTAGTATTTTTTATTCACTAAAGAGGTAACACTATACAATAATGGTACATGACTAATCATGTGCTAATACCTGATTTATTACTTACGTCAACATTAACTCATGATTAGTGAAGACATGAGGAGCTGTCCTTAACTATGACTGGAATCATAAGGATTCATGCATGAATAACGCATCCTTAACTAAATAGTACATGTTTAATTGACATTTAGGGGTGAATTTAATCAAACTGTCTCTATAAGAAGGAATAGTATATATTTTGACTTTCAAATACATTTAAACAGTTTAATATTGTCATAATTCAAACTATTGACATCTGCAGATTTGTCATAAACATTACTGATCACTGATCCTCCTTATCAAATGTAGAAAATACTAAATACAATAATAAATGATCTTAAAAGGTCACAATCTGTTTTGAGACTCCAGTCATAGTTAAGGACAGCTCTTGATTGGTTCATGATTAGCTCATGTCTTCTTCACTAATCATGAGTTCGTGTTGAAGTAAGTATTAATTCAGATATTGGTACATGATTATTAATGTACCATTATTTTAAAGTGTTACCACTAAATATAATCCAGAGGGGCACGTACTGTCCATAAACACCATGAATTAGAAATAATTGCCTATAGAGCAGATTTGCACATTTGAGATGTTTAAACAGTTAATGACAGTGTATTTGCCTTTAAATGTCTCCAGTGTCTATAGGGTAACTCATTTAAGTTGGTATGATCAGTGCTGAAACAGCACTGCACATAGTTAACATTTAGTGAATTCCCCCTTCATACATTAGAGTGTCAAATGCTTTAATTCTAATGAGTTTTTCCTCTAGCGGCTGATTGTCCCTTCCTTTCAAAGAGAAGACGGCGATCAGGTGAGAAACAGTAATTCTGATTCAACCCTTTTAAATGCTTAATGTGAACCTATTATATATGTTGTATTTCTATCATTATGGTTTGTTGGAATAAAGTTACCATCATCTTGATGATTATCAAAATTAGCTTGTAATGATCCAGCTATGATGTTGTAGCGTCTGGAACACTCCAACACACAATATATATTT